GCTGCCCAGACCTGTAGTCGTGGCCCTGAGCCACTGGAGGAGCTGCGTCTGAGGCTGGAGTTCAGCACAGTGGAGGAAGAGGATGAGGAAGAGGTGCAGAAGGAGGAGGCAGAGATGGAGGTACTTATGCAGCCAGATGACGGAGGGGGTGGGGAAGGAGGTGGAGAAGAGGAAACACAAGATGTGGAAGTCGAGGGGGATACAGAGGGTAATGGCATGGACCTGGCAACTCTGAATGAAAATTCCAACAACAACAACCACTTGAGTCCTTCATGGATCCACAATGTAAGTTAGATTAATATGAGTAACACAAATTTTAGGAATAAAAATGGTGTATTCCACTTCACATGAATCCAATTTGGAGAAATAACCACATTCCCCTGTCTTTATTTAGGAAAAACCTTCCTCCATTCTTCTTCCTGCTGATGCTTCTGCACTGTCAGCGAGGGACTCAATGTCCAAACAGAAAGAAGATTCTCCAACCCCCTCTTCTAAGCTTTGCCTTAAACCCAGTCCTCCTGAAGTTCCAAGTGCTTCATTCCCACAGTCTGATACCTCTTCTGAAAGTGTTGCATCTTCAGTGGGACTGCTGCGTCCCTGTGGCCCTCTGTGTGACTGTGCCAACTGTGCTGCCTCCCCGCCCACAGCTCCACTCAACAGAGAGGAGCAGCCAGGAGAATCGCTGCACTTAGTTCAGCCTGAGGACAATGGTGATGTGTTGGAAGGAAAGACTGAGTCTGACAAAAGACAATCTGCAGCTCGCTCAGAGGCTCTCCCTGAGCTGATGAGAATTGATGTGGAGGAAGAGAACCCTGCAGTGGCTTGCTACGTCGGCCAACAACAGGAGACCCTTGTAGAGCTGCAGAGATCCGGGCTGGTCCGCCGCCGTGCCGAGAGACTAGAGAGACTTTCAGGTTCAACTCAAGAGATCCTGCCCTCTCTGAAGCCTTTGCACGCTTGCCAAAGTTCCAAGAAGAGCCCCTTTCTACTTGCGGATGAGGAGGAATTCTGCAGTTTTACCGAGGACTTCACTAAATCTTCAACACCATGCCAAGTGCGGTTAGAGCCAATGGTGTTGCCAATGACCAATGAAGGCTTGTTGGGGGTGGTGGGGCCTGGGCTGCTCACACCCACCTCTTCGCCTCATGGCTCCACCCTGACACGCAGCTCCAGCAGTGACAGTCTGCGCAGTGTGAGGGGTAAACCTGGCCTCGTACGTCAGAGGGCGCAGGAGATCGAGACCCGCATGCGGCTGGCGGGCCTGACCGTACCCTCAAGGCTAAAGCGGTCCAACTCGCTGGCCAAGTTGGGCAGCCTCAACTTCTCCTCTGAGGACCTGTGCTCAGTCTGTTCCTCAGATGCAGGAACTCTGCTGCTCCTCTCACTGTCGCCAGAGCCGGACACTGGCCTGGAGTGGGACTCCCCCACCACCTCTGCTCTGGCTCGGCGATACAAAGACTTGCACACTCCAGAGAGAGCGCTGCCTGGTGAACCCAGAAGCTGACACATCACGTGGAGGTTAAATACACTCCACTCTGAAATTCATGTGTCACCCTGTGGAGCTGGAGAGGGTTGTACAGATCCTGAAAAGAGGAGAGAGTCAAGTCTGAGGAAGCAAATTATATTTAAAAAAAACAAACGAACAAAAAACAAAACAATGCCAACTGTTGTAAGGAGCGTACGCTCTCCTTTGCCACATTGTTTCTCAAACTGCTGTTCACAGTGATTAAGTCATATTGCTGTATCTGACAAGTGTGTAAGCCATCACCTCACCTCTGACATGGTTTGATTCATGGACAAACAAGTGCCTTACCTATGAGACCAGAGGCACATAGTTGTGTTAGACTGCAGGATGAGACGGTACAGGACGTTCTCTATAACCTTTAACTTCACAGCTGTTCGTACCTGATATGTACCAAATTATAGTATCCATCGGCACTTGGATTATTTTTACTGTTGGTGAACTTGAGTCCCTCAGTTGAGCTTGACAGAAAGCAAAGTGTTAAATAAATGTATAGTTGTTTACCGCACAGTTTATGTTTTAGATGCTCGAGAGTTGTAAAAAATGAATGGTTACCTCATGTTGCATTCATGACGCTATTTCTCAGATGAACACTGGAGTTTGATTCAGTTCATTTGCTGGTGATGCGATAAAAGTGAGGAACTCGGTTTTGGACTATTTTTAATGCAGAGGTGTGTGTACGTGCGTTAATGCTTAACTATGTGTGAGTCTCTGAGTGAGTGTAAGGGATGAATGCTGGGTTGTTGTTTTGCCAGAGGCATGCTCACTGTTTTCAACAAACAGAACAGAAACGTTTGTTTGTTGTTCCTTTGCACTGCTTTTTTTTATTGAGTGAATACTGGTACACAGCAAGCTATCTTCCAAAATAACATCAGAGTAATGTTATTGACCTCATCATTCCCTACAGTGTACGATGTTTTTGGGAGAGCAGAGTGAGAAGTCACGCTGCATGGTTTTGAAATCATACTACAAACTTCTGGTGTGACAGGATTTACGGCAGTCATATGATACAATGTATGTTGGGGTTTTTCCCGAGCTAAAGAAATCTGAACATCTTGACAAGATATAAACAGAAAAGCCCCAAACTCTAACATTTCTCATTCAAACCTTCTTTACCCTTAATTCATTCTTGAGGGTTGCCAACATTTTAAACTCATTTGTGCTTTTTAAAATGTAAAAGACCAAAGTTGTTTGGCTGTCTCGACAATTTGAAAGCACCACTAACGCTGTACAAAATATGTGAATCATGTCAATCATGTACGTATTTTTAAAATGCTGTCACATCTTTGCACCTTTTGGGAGAAACAAGAGAGAGACTCAGTGGAGTCGTCAGGCTCATAGCTGTTTTATGCTCATATCATCAATGAGTTTGAAAGCTTTTGTCACACTGACGTGACAACGATCACGATAGGTTACTTCACAGTTTTGTAACCATTTTCTTTTTATATTTAAGTATGCAGTAACTTTTGTACTGTACATTGCTGTAGTTCAAATGCATATTGCACTTTTTATGTTGGTCAAAAAAATGTACTGTATGTGTTAATTATGGAAATAAACATTTCTTTTACATAATATACCGTGAATCCTGTTTTGCTCTTACTTATTCTGTGCATAATTCATTTGAGACTACTTGTGCTGGAAATTATAAACAATACTCCAGAACAACAAACAAGGGTGGTGATGTGGTAGAGTGGTTAGCAGTCAAAGCAAGAAGGTTCTTGGTTTGAATCCCAGTTTGGCCAGCGTCTTTCTGTGTGGGGTTTGCATGTCCGTCCTGTGTCTGTGTGTTTACATGTTGACAGGTTAATTCCCTCTATCAATCATCGACACACTTATCTTCTTCAGCCAATGCCAGCTGACATAGAGCCAGAGGGGGGGTACACCCTGGACCAGTCACCAGTGTGGGCTAGGTGAACTGGAAATGTCTGTAGGTGTAAATGAGATTGTTTGTCTTTGCATGTCAGTCCTGTGATATGCTGACGGCCTGTGTGTACCGAGCCTCCCAGCCAAAGTCAGCTGGGTTAGGCTCCTTAAAAGATAAGCAGAAGAGATAATGGATCCACTCTGAAACAATAGATTAGTTAAATGAAAGACAAAAGGTTTTATACAGAGACATAATGCAGAAAAATATTCATAAAAGAAGTTTTTATACTGTCTCGCCGTGAATGCCCCAGATTCTGTCTATTCAAAACGTAAATATCTGTGCCCTGACTCCACTATGACTGTGTGTGTGTGTGTGTGTGTGTGTGTGTGTGTGTGTGTGTGTGTGTGTGTGTCCTGACATTACGTCATTGTGCACCCGTCTGTATACTTTGGCAGGAGGGCCATTTTCTAACAGCCAGCTTATATAACATTTAGCTTCCCGTCACTGTTTGCATGACATCAGTGAATTACTTAAGTTGCACGCTCTTGTCCCTCGCAGCCTATATGACATGTCTGTGCAGTGAATGGTCGGCCCTGTGTGCAGTACAGTGTGTGGTAGGGGGGGGCACTGAGGCAGCAAAGATGTGATTTTGTGTGTGAACTGACACTGGTATGTAGTATTTACCTCCAGTTTTTTGTTTTTGTCTTACAAATGTACGTGAAATTCAAAACTGGTGTTTCCAGAGATGTAAAAAAAAAAGTTTACAGTGTATGGCTACTGTACACTTGTAAACATTTAAATGACGGAGGGACTAAATAAGAAGCTCATGAGTGTGCCAAGAGGCCCGTGGGGTGTTCTGATTTAACGATGAAGCTAAATTAGTGACAGATTGACTTTAGTCTAGACAAGATTGACCTGTAACACTTTTTAATAAAAAAAAAAAAGACGAGTTGGGCAGAACTGGAGGACCGTTCGATGGTCAACACAGCAGCCTTCGGTCTGCAGCGTCTGGGTGTGGGCCGACCCCTCTTCCCCTTCTTCTGTCGGGGAATTCTTGGCTACCACCACTTTTGTTTTATTATCTGAAGACGTATCCTGTTTTGAATGTTGCTATAGAGACCAAGAGAAACAAAAGAAGAGAAAAAAAAAGTCAGAGCTATTTTTTTCAGATTATTACCAACATTCCAGGACTTGCCCAGGTTGGCGATGACTCAGTTAATCACAGACACAAGCATTCCTCCTTATCTTAACTGGCTCACCTGTGAAACATTATTGAGTAAGATTCAAGACATGTTTATATTCATCCAGTTTCTGCACTAATCACTAACATCCAGTTATATAACCATGTCAATCTGACACAAGGGGAGAAGGTTACCCCTCATGTTTTTAAAATCTCAGCCCAGGTTCACAATCAAAATACATGCAAAATAAAAGATGGAGCTCTGAATGACAATCTCTCCAACGTTTCTCCAGACAGAAAAAGTAGAGCTGCAGGACTGAGTTCCCCCCTGATTGTGTTAGTCAAATGTGGTGTGACATCACATGGAAGTAATATAACGCTCCCATTGCTTGTGCATTTAAGGGAGGTCTGAACATCTCCAAACAACCAACAAAGTTCACTTTGTCCGTCCAGGGAGAGCGATTGACTCGGCTGCAACTTCTAACTGGTAAGTGTCAGCTGTGACATGATCGGAGAGGAATATTATATCTATCAGGGTAGAGAGCGTTGTCACCAGCCACGCTTGTGCCAAGCAAGATGTGATTGTACCAATCATAGCTGGGATCTGACAGAAAAGAGAAATTCTGAATTGTCAAGATGCTTAAACTTTGCGAGAGGGTCCTGTTCCACTGTTTTTGAATTCCTGTCTGTCTGAGTATGTTGAGGCAGCAGAGCACATGGTGATCAAGTGATCAGCTTTGGGCATTCATGAAGGATGAAGCAGGATAATGGAGCGGTTGTTGCCAGAGATGGACTGCCTTGAGGGAAGGGGTTCCCCACACTAACCACTTGAGTAGTTGGCCGTTAACCACTGGACGCAGATTCCAGTGGGCTCTGATAGTGGCTTTAACCTGATGAGTCCACAGGATCTGAAGAGAGGAGACGGTACTGTGGCTGATTTTACAGATCCCCATCATCTTCTCGCCTTTAAAGTCTCATTTTATTACGTATTTTGGCTCTTCCTCAATATCCCAGTGTGAAAAACATCATGTTGTTTTATCTCAGCGACACAGCAAAGCCACTGTTGTAGTGTGATACCATTAGCTCCCTGAGCCGTGTGTCTGGCCAGTGTGTTGGCCTGTCAGATGATAAGACAACAGCAGTCATATGTTGTCACACACACAAGGAGGGATGAGGCCATGGATGGGAAACAGACTCAAGTCATTGTTCATTGTGCTTCACAGTCTTCTCTGCTTACTGCTGCAGTTTGGTGAAAACCTATTAAACAATTAGACAATTTGAAGGTGTCAGGGAAAAGTAGTTTTTTTGCAACATCTTCTGCACTCACTATTATTCTTTATGACCACGATGATCATCCGGATGAGCAATAACTGCAGTCAAGATAATACTGCTCAGAGAAGTCTATATTTATATTAAGTTTTTAAAAAATGTGATACTTACATTTCTGAGGGAATCCAAAGGAGATTTGCCTTCTACATCTAACTAATAGTAAAAACATAAACATACTTTAACAAAGGTACTTTGGCAACAATTTATGCCATAAAAACTCATCTACTACACACATTCTAAAACATTAAAACACATCTCTTATTCATTTGTATACAAACACTTTAGCAGATTAGGTACATACACTCACAGTTTGGTTAGGAGTTATCAAAATAATCAACAACAATATACAATATAAAAGGCTTTATGACAAAAGAATGTAGGCAGTCCATATGGAAAAATATAGAAATAAATACAAAGCTAACGTTAGATAAATGTGATGCAGGGATTACTAGATATACAAGCAAAAACTTGTATCAAGATACTTGGAAGAGCAGAGTTGCTCATGTGTTCATACCTGAAACATGTTGGAGCATGAAATGGCTCGACTGAGTGGTACGTTTAATCAATTAATTGCGTCACATGAAACCAAATCAGTAAAAAAAAAGATTCTGATGTCAAAAAGTGTGACAAAATAAGCTGAGTTTTATATTGCAAAGTGTGGGGAGAAGACTGGCTGACGGACTGTCATAAGACTGAGTCGGCCTTTAATACAAACAGAGAGGGCTGAATCAATTCCCACAGTATCAGTATACTGTTCTCCTCAACTGCTGTGACGCTGATTAAAAACACTGATCCCAGATTTTACAAATGTTGTTTTAATCATGAAGCTTTATGTCTGACATTCCTACACTCAATTCAGATTAAATGAGTGATGACAGTAAAAAAATGTCACATTACATAAAGTGAATGAGGAATGTAATGCTCCTTAATCACTTAACAGGCCAAAACAATGGATTAAAATTCAGATTATGGCAACATCATGTGTCTGTGATTTGTCTCAAAGTAAAACTGGCATTGACATTGCATGTGCATGAAAAACCCAACTGAGCAGTTAAACCAGTTAAAGTCATAAGATACACAGATTATGAAAACCCTCCTGTGTTGTTGTTGCTACTTGGTCGTTTCCCCTGAATATTAGTGTGGATGCTCAGGACCACAGAGGCTGTGGTAGAGCACAGATAGTTCATGGACTGCAGGCAAAAGAAAAGACTTCTGTGCTGGCATTCCTAACACGTGGCATGACTGGAGGATTTTATCTTTTGTTGTGGGGTTAACAACGTGTTGTTCTCCACAGACCAGCATGGGACAGAACCTGGAGAAACTGGATGGGGGAGAAGAGGCCGTCGGTGAAGGTTCGGAGGAGACAAGGCCGTGCCCTCACCCTGTAGGTGCAGACGGTAATGCAGGTGAAGTCATGGAAGGCGAAGGCTCCTGTGAGGAGGCTGGTAACAGCGGGGAAAATTTAGGGGAAGACACACAGGATCGAGACAGACGCCCCCACCAGGAGCCAACAACACCTTCCAGTGAGAGGCACGTAAATTTGTGGGTGAGTCCTATTGCTGCACGGGAGGTGAAGCAGGGAGGGGCTGCAGGAAAGGAGGGAAGAGGAGGAGGAGCAGACATGGGCAGGGCCGCTCCAGTGGTTCACCAGGAGACGGACAAGAACCGAAAGAGTAGTGCAGGAATTGAGGAAAGAAACACAGCATACAAGCTGTTCAGCCACTTTAGTAGAGAGGAGAGAAAGATTCGGCAAGAGCTCCGGACATCCTCAAGGATCAAGATGGAGTATCACGAGGAAGTAACCGGCCCTCATGAGGAGAGACAAGAGGAAAACTTCTCAGCTGAAAAGTATGGCCTTTCTGTTACCTCAAAGGATACAAGCTCATCCAACAACACTGAAGAGGGCTCTGCAGGGAAGAATGTGAGCAAATGTAGCGCTCACACAGGAAGTGAAATGCTGTCTGCTCAAGATCAGAATGGGAGCATGATGGCTGAAGCTGAGGAGCTCTGTGCAGGAACAGTGGACAGCTTCAGGCAGAGGAAGGAACCACCTCCAGCCCAAGCCCAACATCCTTCCAAAAACAATCTGCAGAAAGAGTCTCTATTAGACATGAGTGATACCATTCATTGTAGACGTCCAAAAGGGACAACAGAGACTAATGCAAAGGGGGAAACACTAACATGCGAGGTTGAGCAAGTTTTGAATGACTACTCTTCAAGAAAACCAAAGGTCACCGACACTGATGATCAAAAGGAGTCACTGAGGCCTTATCTACAAACGGACACAACCAAGACAAACAAATGTGATTCAGATTCAGCATCAAATCCAGTCTCATCCAGCTCTATTTTGGAGAGACTACTGAGGAGAAACATCAAGGAGGCAACCCCGGCTCTTTCTAAAATAAAAGAGGAAGACAAGGACACTTCAGATGTTCCTGCGGACATGAATGCAAAAAGGATCCTCGACGGAACAGGAACAGAGATACCCAGTGATAGGACTGACCGGTCAGGATGTGTTTCACGCTCTTCTGCTGATTCAAAAAGGAACCCACGTAAACCAAACCTTGCATCAAAGGATCACCACATTAAAGACTCAAGTGAGAGCGCGCCACCACAATCACATTGTTGCGAGAGTTCAGAGATGAGCATCAACCCAAAAAAGGCTTCATCAAACATGGGACCCTCTGAAAACCTGTCCCCGGATGACTTACAATCAGCTGGTTCATATGAAAGAACATCATGTGAAGAGAGTGTGATCGCTGAGGAATCTGCACCTTCCTCTCTGTCGGAAGTAAAGTCTTCACCCACGAAAAGTGATGGGCAGAAGTCAGAGTCATGCCGTCTACCTGCTGCTGATAAGACAGGCAATGGTACTGTGACAGCTGTGGTCAGTCGCTCAGAGGTCACAACCAGCATCAAGCAGGATCTGCATGTGACACTTAACACACCTGACCAAACTGACAACAGTACTGTCAACGACCTTCCCAAATCTAGGCCTGTCTCTGAACTCATAAAGGAAACAATTAAACTGCAAGAAAAACTGCAGCACCAAGAGCGGCCGAAGCAAGCTGAAGCTAAGTGCGACGAGCAGGCCCAGTCATTGAAGGTGGCAAAGATGAAGGCCGCTTTTGACTCTCCTCAGAAATCCCCTGACAAGGCGATCGACAGGAAGCCATCAATGAGAAAAGGTAAGGGCATTTAAATCTCATTAACTGCAATATACACACTGCTGTATCAAATAAATAGAAACTGTAGGTTGTGCAGAAGACACAGGGGATTACAACACAGCAGGTATATTGATCACGGAGTCATTTGTGATTGATAAAACAATTAACTGATAAAGTCATAATACATGGACCCTGACATGGTGGGTTGCCAGAGCCACTGTAAACAATTACGTCATTCCTGATATGCAGGACTGAGGGCGGGTGAGGGAAAAAAGACTGGATGATGGAGCACAGATGTTTTTTCTGCTGACAAAAAAAATGCTGAATTTGTGAAATAACGCCATCTTGTGGTGCTGATACACACGTGTGGTACATTGTGTTCTTCAGGAAAATTGAAATACATTCTTTTTGATATTGTAAAACAACACTGAGGCAAGAATTACATATTTTTTCATTGTGTATAATCTAGGATATAATATTTTGTAGTAATGGACATTAGAAGTAGCCTGTAGAATAAAAATAAAATAAAAGAGGTAATTATTAAAATTATTGTTGTTTTCTAACAAAGCACAATTCAGCCTTATACAGTTCTGATTGTATCCATATATGTGGCATCCACATATTTACACCTTCATCAGTCACAAATGTATATGCATATATAAAACCACGCTACTATTTCAATTTTGATGCTTCACCCTAATTATCTGTTATATTATGATAAATTAAATTAGCAGTAAGGCTGTAAAATGAGCTCATATTGATTGATGAATAAATGGACATTAGTGCTTTTATAAATGAAGTGGCTAAGATACAACAGTAAAAGAAAACAATGGACGGTGCACAGATGTATACTAGTGATATGAAAGGTGATTAAAAACGTCCACAGACAGAAATGAAGGTGATTCTCTGTGACTGAGAACCTGGAGGAAGGAGCCCCCCCAGTCTGGTTATCTAAATACTCATTGGCTGAGGGAGCTGTCAGTCAGCTGCAGCCGCTCCACTCACCGTCAGCCAAGCCGAAGAAGGGGGCGGGGCTAGTGCGGGAGTAGGGAAAGATCGCCGGGAGCGAGAGAGAGGGAGAGAGAGAGAGTCAGAGGCTCAGCGGAGGAGGAGGAATCGACCCGGTCACGTTGGGCTGCGTGTTATATCATTTCGCTTTTCGGGAATACTTTAATTTCTCCTCTCAGAAGGTAGGCGCGCACACACCACACTGTTTTAAATGGGCTTTATTAAATATGGCTGCTCGGGTTTTCTCTCGTCCATCTCCAGACATCACAGCCCGGGACAGGGAAGTGCACGCGCTAGCTAAAACGAGCCAGGGTAGAATGTGAGCTGCTCCTCTCTCTCTCTCCCTCTCTCTTTTTAAAGCTAGCTGTAGCCTTCAGCCGCTGTTAGCTAGCTGTCAATGCTAGAAAAGTTACAACCAGAGGTGTAAGGGTTTTTCTCCCCCCCCTCTCCGTTGGGTGGATGAATAGAGGAAACGTGCTGTGGCTACACGGTGTGGAGCAGGGAGCAGAGCGGGGTGGGGTAGCTCACCATAGTGCCGCAAGAAAACTTCTCCCCGCAGCGGTGGATCCACACAGACGGAGGTGCAGAGCAGCACAACCGCGCCCTGGCCCCTGGCATCCTGTCCCGAGCGTGACATGCTCTCCTCAAACCGAACAATCGGCCCCACACATCCAGGAATCACCCCTGCCATTCTGGATCTCTTGTGTCCACCCCCACCCCCATTTTTAAAATTGAGACCCAGTACTGATGGTATTAGTTTCAGATTTGACCCACTAACACACTGGTATGGAAGAGAAAGGGTCGTATCAGAGACGTGGTCGCTGCTTCCATGCTCACGACTGTAGCCCATGCATAATTCTGTCCCCCATTAGTTTGACTGTGAATATATATCATGTGGGAAATTGTTGGTATGACGTTAAACTCAATGTGCACCTCCGTGCTGCAGTTATAGTGAATGAGGTCAGACAGAGAAGTGTCATGTCTCTGAGAGTATTCCTGCTCATAAATGTTAGGGTCGGAGTCCAGCAGCTTTATGATGACAGCTGTTTCGGTTCACAGTCAGTTTTTGTTTAGCTTCGTCAAAATAAGATGTGGTGACTTTGTTTTAAGACGCCTCGTTGTCCGATTAGTTTGGTCTGCCTTAATATTTAGAAAAAACCGTTTCCACAGCTGGACCACGTGTGTTGTAGTTAAAATGGGGTTTGCTCATTGAGTGGATTGACAGGGAGTGTCACAAGTAGGTCTGCAATAAAAAGATTATTTTCATTATTTACTGATTTAATTGTTTGACAAGTATGACAACTTGGCCTGGTCTTTAACATTTGGCTCGTTTCTGCCTTCAAGCTACAGGCAAGGCAATTCCCAAATACCAGTACCATTTTGGGCAAGTGCTTGGAACCTGATCATAAACGGACGGTTCTAGGGAGGTCATTGAAGACTTAATGGTGCTTTCCTCCTCACTTGGCAGTCATAAATAGTCTCAAGTCAAGCACTAATGACTGGGTGATGATCCAAATAGTCCCTTGTGTGACCTCTTTGTCTGTACTCCACCATCAGCTCATTTTCCTCCTCATGACATTAGGGCAGTTTAATTTGTAATGTGCCAAAAGGGCAGCATGATTTCCATATTCAGTCCTTGTATTGAACGTTACTTAGCTCCTATGGTATAATCAGCTTTGGTGTTGGAGGAATTTCCCTCTCAGTGGGTCCAGAGCAGGTGTAGGCTGAAGGAACCACCCCAGGGTTGACAGTCAGCATAACTACAACCGTGTTTGGGCTTGCTCTCCATTCCAGACGCATCATCCTCTACTGGTTGTGCGACGCTATAGGATCTTTAGAAAAGACAAGCCTGCCTTCCTGTTCCTTGGCTGAAAGAGGAAGTGGGTCAGGGAGCAGAGGGAAACTAATCACGAGATGTGAACCAGTGTTTGGTTCCTATCAGCTGTGGCAAGGCACTCTTATGTGACCTGTGGTGAAAGTACATTTTGAACATTTTGAATTGGTTTCGAGAATATCATGAATCTTAACCTCCAATAATCCAGCATATCCATGAAATGTATTTAATCTTTGTTGAGTAAGGTCTGGTGAAGTCCACCTGTTCCCTGCTGGCCATCTCACTGGTCATTGTTGTGCTGGAATTTTTTAGAAGAAGCACTCCGAGCTTGGGCTGTCTTTTGCGGATTAGATAATATGTATATAGGAGAGAAAGTATCTTAGCTGTAGTTTAACCCTCCTGGTAGCTAGTTCTCATATCATTTTTCTGGAATAATCAGCAGTTTATGGAAACCATCTTCATGTGTAGTCAATAGCGTTGTCTCTGCATCTCATTTGGAAACATCGGATCACATTCTTTCAACATATGTGACATACCTCAGTTTTTGTCAAGTCCTGTCTGCACAAGATGCTGTTATCTCACAGCATTTTTCAAGAGGACTTGACAGGCCATTAACCTTCAGAATGAAAAACTACAGCTTGTATATTCAATTAACATGTTTTTGTTTTACTTCAGGTTTATTTACCTCCACACACACACACACACAGCGTTTAGTAGTTTATTTTAAGAAACACGGAAAGAAAAATCTCATTATCTAACCACCTGCTTAGCATATTAGTGTGCTTATCTGTTTGTTTTTTTGTTTGTTTGTTTGTACCAGCCTGTTGGATGAAGAGGATCACATATATAAATCTGTGCTGCTAGTTGTTTGCACACTGACACAAGCCACTGACTGTACTAATAGATAAAATGACTAAAAGGTGACTCAAAAAAAAAAGCAAATTCCTTTGCTGGAGTTACTTGGACTCTCAATCATTCATGAAGTTCAGATGTCCTCTGTTATTTTGAACCTCCCCTTTTTAGCTTTATAGCTAAGCAATTCCAGCAGATTCATGCAGAAGCACTATTTCTTCCACTGGTCATTCCCACCACAGCTGACAACATCTGTTGAAATGGAGCAGTGGTTTGTGCTTTGCTCTCTGGGGGAGGGGGAAGTAACTGATCAGGAAGAGGAAGGATCATGCTCTGTACTCTCAGGCTGTAATATTTAGGAGTTTAGGATTTCAGATTTGAGAAATAATCAGATTTGTTTTTTTCCTCTTTTCTCTAGATGTGTTTAGGCAATGTCTGATAGGAACACTGCTTGATAAAAAATCCCAGGCAGATAGGTTTGATTTGAGTAGATGCATTTTTAAAAGTAACTCTATACACAAACAATCCTCTAAACTAGAGCTTTTTCTGTTGTAAGTAATTTTATAGGATTTTAAAGTGGTCTCCTATTAAACTTTGACTTTTAAGCAGGATAAGAAGTTTAGGATTTAGCGCCTTAAGTCTCACAGCACAGAAAGTGATAGAAAGTTGAAAAAGCGGGTTAGTGTTCAAGCACAGGTCAAGGCATGCTCAGCGTCACGCTAAACAGACATTTTCTGACAAGTTTGTGTTTCCACATGTGAATCTGAAGGGTCTGTTTTTTCCCCTGTTTTTGGAATGCTGAAGTTGGCAAAACCTAATCATTTGACTTTTGGTGTTGACATTTTTTCGTATGTTTATGCCTGGCACACTTACATGCTATTGATGCTGTTGATTGGAGCCAGTAATTTATTGTCTATGTTTTACGAAGCTGAATGTTCAGCCACATTACTCTCATGTCTGCAAATCTCATTTCCTCTACAAAGTACAACAGATACAGTGGTGCATAATGTATTGCGTTCTAGTTGCATTTAAACTGAGCAGGCAGCAGACTGCATGATCACTTGGGGTTGGAAAGTGGTGAAAAGACAGCACCTTATCTCATTGTTGCAAAATGCACTGGAATGTAGCTGGAATCTGATTACAATGGTGGTCCGTGGCCTTGGTTACAGGAAGGGGATTTAGGTGGCGTCTCATGCAGTCTTGGTGACAAAAGGCAAAAGGCAGCCAGTGTATGGAGAGCAGTGAGGCGACATCGCTGGTGTGTGGGGGGCGAGGGGTGGCATGGGTAGCAAAGTGTGGGAAAGAAAAGTCTGTGACCATCAACGACTGTTATGTCTCTAA